TGGATTACCTGAGGTCAGGAGTTCAGGACCAGCCTGACGAACATGGTGAAACCCTGAGATCGTGCAACTACAGTCCAGACTGGGCAATGGAGCTAGAAATTAGCACTGAAAAAAATGTTTTAAAAATTAAAGTTATTAGAAGTCTTTTTTCATACCTGAAAAATGAAACTAGATTAAAAAACATATATATGCCAAATGTGGGTGAAGGGGAGAAAGGAAGCAAAACACACTGCCATGTGTGTACCTATGCAACTGTCTTGCATGTTCTGCACATGTACCCCAAAACCTAAAATGCAATAAAAAATTAAATTAAAAAAAATAAATAAATAATAAAAGAACATATGTGTGTGTATATATATAAAAAATTATATATATAAATTATATGTATATAAAATTATATAATAAAATTATATATATAAATTATATAAAATATATAATAAAATTATATATAATATATCATAAAAGTTTATGTATATAATTATATATAAAATATAAATTATATATATAATTATGTATATATATAAATATATATAAATATATATTATATATATAATATATAAAAATATAATTATATATATATATAATTTTAATCTACCAGAGGTCAAAGAAACTAAAAATTTGAGGTTTTTATAGAAGCAGACAAATGGGAAAAACATACGATCAAGGATTAGAAACAGGAAGAAGAAAGAAATTGAGAAAAAGTATATTTTCTGAGGACAGACTAGTTGCATCATATTTTACTATAACATACAGAAAATAATGATAAAAATTCCAATTATTTCATGTACTCTGAATTTTTCTAACATCACATTGATATAATTTGACAAAATGCAAAAAAAGTTAGGATTTTGGCAGATTATTTTCTATCAATTCCACAAATATATGCTGAACCATTTGCACCATCTGCTGTATAAGCTTTTGCAGAAAGAATGACAATAGACATGTTTGGACATCAATGTTAAAATGTAATTCAAGAGAATATACTGTATCAATGAGAAAGAAACTAAAATAAATAGAGTGACAAGAAGGTTCAGAACAGGACAGAAGAAGAATGAAAGCTGAATCTTTTTATCATACATATCTTTGATATGTTTGGAAATATTCACACAGGTATATAATATTTCTTAGTGATATAAAGTAAAATAATTTTAATCAAATTATTCTTGGGAATGACAAATAAGTACAAAAAGTGTTGTTGGGCCACATTAATTAAACATAGTGTAGGTATTCCCACATCGTAGGATAACAAAGCATTTTGTGTTAATTTAAATATTTGTAGAAAAGTTTATAAGTATCAAACTGTTGTTTTATAAAATATGTGCCATATTCTCTAAACACAGACTTTTTATTAGTTATTCATGGCATGAGTCCAAAGATGGTTTTACCTAACTGTGCAGTAATAATATTCTGGTTTCAGATTTGTATCTCTCAATGTAAATGCTCTTTCTTAGGATTATGTCAATTTCTAGGACAGTAAATCTCACACACACACACACACACACACACACGCACACACACAGATACATCCTTCAGTAGGATGAAAACACATTGCATTGTTCTCATTTGCAGGAAAGTGCTTTTTCTTTGGCTACTCCACAGCTGACCTTAGTACATGACTGTGAAACTCATTTTCTGGAAGAATGACAAGTCTCTAGCTGAGCTCATTAGCTCTTATCCTGGACTTGTGAATTCCAATGTTCTCGCATGGAAATAGGAAATTTCTTCAATTCTTTAATTATATTTTATCAATTTAAGGAAACAGTAAATATAAATTTGACTATTTAAACATAAAAATGCAAAGCTATTATAATAATTTGAATTAAAATTTTCTTGTTTTCACCTTACACCTTTGTTACTTGCCCTTAAAGTCCTTTAGACCTTTATTTTTAATTCTGAATTAAACACATACACACCACTCTCACGAGCTTAACACACACAAACATATACACTACTCTCATGAGCTTAATGGTAGTTCCCTAAAAGATATTTCCGTATCCTAATTTTAAGAATCTGTGAGTATTGCCTTATATGGCAAAAGATGTGATTAAATTAAGGATTTTGAGAGGTGGGGTTATCTTGGATGATAGAGATAGTCCCTAAATCCAAATGTCCTTATAGAAGTAAAGCAGAGAGTGATTTGGTAGAGACACAGAATGGGAAGCAATGTGATCACAAGGATAGAAATTGGAGTGATGTAGTGAGTCACAAAATGCCAAAAGCTTGAGGGAAAAAAAAAATCTTCTTTATATTACCCTAGAGAGCGTATAACTGTAATATTGGGGTTCAGGGGTCCTGGGTGCCCTCAACTCCCCTGAGAGGACGTTTCTCTGGGTTCTTGGTCTCCTGCCTTCTCAAGAATGAGAGAGGGGACCACAGTGCAGTGCGCAGTTAATGCCGGATTCAAAAGTGTTTGTAATAAGTGATTTATTTAAACAGAGAGAAAAACAGGAAGCGAGAAAAAGAAACAGCTAACTCTCACACTGAGTGAGAAAATCCAGAAAGATGGAATCCAGGAGAAGAAAGCAGCTTCCACGAGAGTGTCACTGAATAGAGAGTGATGGACTTTAGGAGGAGAAGCCAGGGTTCCATGAGAGTGTGGAAGGGGACTTCAGAGAGAAAATCCAGGAGAGAGAAAAACGGCTTCCATGAAGGGAGTGTTCCTGGAAGGGGACCCAAACATGGAGTCTGAAGGGGTGTGGAAGAAAGGGACTTTTAACCTGGGAGGAACCCCCAGCTTCTCTAAGAGCCCAGGCCAGTGAAAGGAGTTCCTTAGGACTTCTGCTAGAGTGAATGACTTTTAGTATCTTCCTGTGTCCGCGAAATTCAAACATAAACAGTTAACTCTCCCAGAAGAAGGGAGATGGGAGGGGGGCATGGTGCTAGGAAGTTCTTGCCCTTAAAACTATGCCCCCTTGTGGACCCAGAAAAAGAACACATTCTCTCATAACCATGACAGATTTGAGAATTCTAGCCTCGAAAATTGTGAGATAATAAATTTCTGTTGTTTTGAGCCATCTAGTTCATAGAAATTTATTACAGCAGCCTTATGAAAGCAATACAGTATCTGTGGAAAATAACAGACTATGGAATATTTAGACATTCAGAAATAACTGTGCAGCGTTAAAGAACACAAGGATATTTTATTTCAATTTCAAAAATTCATATTTATATCTCTTATGTATTGAGTCAATGTAATGTGCCAAGCTCTATGATGGCCACAGGATTAAAATAAAAAGGTCTGATCTCTCCTCTTTAGGATCTCACAATAGAGCGAAATGTCCCATCTATATCTTATGTAAAACATAGCTCAAAAGCTAAACATCAAGCTTTAATTGAATAAGAGGCAAGCAGAAATATAACCAAATTCATTGTAATCAATTTGTAGACAGTGCGGTATGATGGAAAAAATATGAAGTTTAAATCTAAATTCTTCCACCTATGACCAGCTGACTGTGGGTAAGAAAAATAAAATTTTTGAGGCTCTATATCCTTATGTCTAAAAATGATTGAATTTTTCTTAGGTAATATATCTGGATAGGGAATAAATGAGTTAATTCCTATAAAACTCAATTATCTTGTGTCCTACTAATGCTTTTAAGCGATTAGTAGATTATTATATCTTCCATCTGCCAAAATTTCCAAAAGTTGCTTTATTTTGGGGTGGACAACTTGTTTCACTTTTTTTTTAAAAGAATTTTTCCAGTATTAGCATTGAAAGTCTCATTTCTTGGGAGTCTCTTTAGTCCTAGTCAAATGGCAAAAGTTGGTCTCCCTATTTCTTAATGGTCACTAAAAACCTACAATCAATGATGCTTTGGTATTCATGTTCTTGGGTAGTCCTTATTGAATTTAGTCTGTTTTCTTCATTTACCAATATAAGGCAACCAGATGAATGGTTTCTCAAACTCTACTCAGTCTGACTTTAGAACCTGGCAGCATTTGCATTTGAAACGCTGAGGTTTCATGCAAGAAATCCAGCACTGAAAAAGGAAAAAAAAAAAATATATATATATATATATATGCGGCATTAAGCCACTAGGTTTGTGGTCATTTGCAGCTGTAATAGGAAGCTACTACAGTAATGGCAGAATGATGATAGGTTGATGACTACACCACTGGCAGCAAGGCAATAGGTGTTGCGCTATACCTGCCTGAAAGGATTTGGCCCAGGACACATGGTGAGGAGTTAAGGCTCAGGTATCTTGCACTAAGATAGAATAGATACTTAGAAGTTGAAATGATTTCATATACTTTGAATTTTTCTAACATGTTATGAAATATTTTATTTAATTCCTTTGAAAGCCACAAACAGAAACTTGCTGGTGTGTGATGAAGATCGTTGCTTCCATACTCAACCTATGGCCAGGTATTCGTCTCTCATTTTTATAGGCAAGTCAAATATTGACATACTAATTTATTACTACACATCCGTGGTGTAAGAAATTAGTTTGTTACTTAGTAAAATGTCAGCCTATATAAATTCATCAAATATAATTAGGAGCTTAGATGTCTGATTTCCTCCCTCTTTGACGACTTTTGCTTAACCACCCTTAAAGAAGGCAGGGCTTAGTTCCTTATATTTAATTCTGGCTGATCCACAAGATAGGCAAGCAGCTAGTTGCTCAGAAATAGGCTGCTCTAGGTTCTGGCAGGAACTATGGTTCATCTCTTTAAAGAAATCCAAGAAATCTCTCGTGTTTTGGGTAATTAAACCAAATTGGATAAGAACATTATAGTTTGATAGAAAGAGAGCTGCTTTTTGCCAGGGAAACCTGCTTATCTAATGTAAAAGAGAGAACACAGTTTATTCTTCATATATTAAAATTTATTTTAAAATTATATTTCTAAATATACTTATATCCAACTATAGTCAACATTATTATACTGTTAACCAAATTTTCTCTGCTCTTAGATGGTGACCTAAGCTTGAACACACGGTATGCAATGCATTGCAGATTTTTTTTTTTTTTTTAGACAGAGTTTTGCTCTGTTGCCAGGCGCCAGGCTGGATTGCAGTGGCATAATCTCGGCTCACTGCAATCTCCGTCTCCTGGGTTCAAGCAATTCTCTTGCCTCAGCCTCCTGAGTAACTGGGGCTACAGGCGCGTGCCACTACACCCAGCTAATTTTTGTATTTTTTAGTAGAGACGGGGTTTCACCATGTTGGCCAGGATGGTCTCGATCGCTTGACCTCGTGATCCGCCCACCTTGGTCTCCCAAAGTTCTCAAAGTGCTGGGATTACAGGCGTGAGCCACCGCGCCAGGCTGTGTGTGTGTGTGTGTGTGTGTGTGTGTGTGTGTCTGTGTGTGTGTGATCTGTGTGCCTTTATTAGCAGAGCCACTACTTGGGGATGAAGCGGGAGGAGTGGCTGGCCCCAATGTCAGGGGTGTGTGTGTGCGTGTAGATCTGTGTGCCTTTATTACCAGAGCCACTACTTGAGGGGGATGAAGCAGGAGGAGTGGGTGGCCCCAATGTCAGGCCAGCCGTGCTTCATGGGCTTGTAGGTGATGGAGAACTCACCCAAGTAGTGGCCGGTCACCTCCGGCTTTATCTCCACCTGGCTGAAGGTCTTGCAGTTGCAGAAGCCCACCATGTTGCCCACCATCTCGTGCAGGAAGATCATGTCCCGCAGGCGCATCTTCACCGCTTTCGGCTTTTCCACAGGCGGAGCCTCCTCCTTGGCCTTAAGCAGGCGCGTCTGCACCACTTCCGGCTTCTCCACAGGCGGCGCCACCTTCTTGACCTCACGCAAGCGCTTTGGCAGGGTAAGGCCAGCCTGCGTGAGGCTAAGAAGGAGGCGCCGCCTGTGGAGAAGCCTTAAGTGCTGCTTCTGCCTCAAGCCCTGGTTCAGCTGCCGCCGCTGGCGCACACTGTACAGCTCCGTCAGCTGTTCGTAGGACATGTCCAGCAGCTGGTCCAGGTCCACGCCGCGGAAGGTGAACTTGCAGCAGGTCAGCTGCTGCTTCTTTCTACCTCTGCCATCTTGCTGGATCCTCAGAAATTCCTAGGTATTTTATTCTCTTTGTAGCAATTGTGAATCGCAGTTCCCTCTTGATCTGGCTCTCTTTTAGTCTGTTATTGGTGTGTAGAAATGCTTGTGATTTCTGCACATTGATTTTGTATCCTAAGACTTTGCTGAAGTTGCTTATCAGTTTCAGGAAATTTTGGGCTGAGACGATGGGGTCTTCTAAATATACAATCATGTCGTCTGCAAATAGAGACAATTTGACTTCCTCCTTTCCTAATTGAATACCCTTTCTTTCTTATTCTTGCCTTATTTCTCTGGCTATGAGTTCCAATACTGTATTAACTAGGAGTGGTGAGAGAGGACATCCTTGTCTAGTGCCAGATTTCAAAGGAAATGCTTCCAGTGTTGCCCATTCAGTGTGATATTGGCTCTGGGTTTGTCTTAAATAGCTTTTATTACTTTGAGATATTTTCCATCGATACCTAGTTTATTGAGAGTTTTTAGCATAAAGGGCTGTTGAATTTTGTCTAAGGTCTTCTCTGTGTCTGTTGAGATAATCATGTGGTTTTTGTCTTTGACTCTGTTTATGTGGTGAATTACGTTTGTAGACTTGCATATGTTGAAACAGCCTTGCATCCCTGGGATGAATGCCACTTGATCATGATGGATAAACTTTTTGATGTGTTGTTGAAATCAGTTTGCCAGTATTTTATTGAAGATTTCTGCATCTATGTTCATCATGGATATTGGCCTGAAGTTTTCTTTTTTTGTTGAGTCTCTGCCGGGTTTTGTATCAGGATGATGTTGGTCTCATAAAATGATTTGGGAAGGATTCCCTCTTTTTGTATTGATTGGAATAGTTTCAGAAGGAGTGGTACCAGCCCCTCATTGTATATCTGGTAGGATTTGGCTGTGAACCCATCTGGACTTGGGCTTTTTTGGGTTGGTAGGCCGTTAATTGCTGCCTCAACTTTAGCCCTTGTTATTGGTCTCTTCAGGGTTTCAGTTTCTTCCTGGTTTAGGCTTGGGAGAGTGCAAGTGTCCAGGAATGTTTCCATTTCTTCCAGGTTTACTGGTTTATGTACATAGAGTTGTCTGTAGTAATCTCTGATGGTGGTTTGTATTTATGTGGAATTGGTGGTGATATCCCCTTTTATTGTTTTTTATTGCATCTATTTGTTTCTTCTCTCTTTTCTTTTTATTTAATCTGGTAAGTTGTCTATTTTGTTGATCTTTTCAAAAAACAAGTTCCTGGATTTATTAATTTTTTGAAGGGTTTTTTGTGTCTCTATCTCCTTCAGTTCTGCTCTGATTTTATTTCTTGTCTTCTGCTAGCTTTTGAGTTTTTTTTTTTATCTTGCTCCTCTAGCCCTTGCAGATTTTTAAAGGACAAGCTAGTGTAAATAACCAATACTTATATCCTCAGAAGTCCTTCCAAGTAGAAATAGAGAATGTCTAGGATATCGGTTATATCCCTGTAGCCAGATACCTGGAGTTCACTCTTTACTCTGCCATGTATCACTGTGTGATCTTCAGCAATCTACTTAGCCAGTGCTGCATTTCTTCCTGTTTTAACCTTGGCTGAAAATTGTATCTGATTCATAAGGTTGCTATATGAATTAGATTAATTCATATTTTTAAAGTTCTCGGAACAGTGTCTTGATGCTAGGAGGTGCTAGAAAGTATATTAATTATAAAGATTCCAGAGAAGTAAAGTACAATAAGGTAGAAATTAAGAAATGAGAACAGAATTTCAGAAGTTGTTAATCAAAACAAAATGCCAAAGTTGGCTTTAATCAGGGACCATTTGGTTGCAATCAATAGCGATGATTATTTGATTAGTTCAGGTAAAAAGGGGAATACATTAAAACATATGCAAAATCAAATGGCAAGGAACAGAGTCATCAAGGCTGCAATAGGAACTGGAAGATTGAGAATCAAGATTGTTCTTTCCAAAATTTCCAGACTTTTATCATTTACTATTTTCACTTGATTTGTATGTCTCCCTCAACAAAACTAGCTTTGTTTTGGTGTTTCCCTTTCAGAAAATTACCACTCAGTTTCTCCCTCTGCGTGGCTCTACAGTACCCAGAACAGAGTAGCTAAAGTGACTATTTTGTAGGGAAAACTTGTATTACTGCAGCTTTGGTCAGACTTTCATTCTGTTAAAGGTGGTGTGCACCTTCATTTTGTTGGAGGTGGTGTGCAGTGGAAAGACATTCCTTAAATGTCCACAACAATCTGGCATTCACTTTCATAAGGTGTTGGCTTTTGGCTGGAACTTCTGATTATTATAAGAAACACTGTCAACCTTGTTCTCTAAACTGAAGACAAATTTAAAAGCATGAAGCTTTCTATAGATTTAATATATTTAGCAATCTTCAACTTCTGTAAAATAATATAGGTGTTTTAAATGACAGCATAAGGGGAATGGGGCTTATTCTATGGTATATTTAAATAAGAATACGTCACTTGCATTTTCTCCCCAAAATATAGTTTCAAAATCAAAATTTCAATTATATGACCAATAAAAAATTGGGAAAATGGAAGTACAAAGTACTAAATTTGGCTTTGAGGTCTATGCTGTGTATATGAATGCTTGATGTTCTTGGAATATTTACTGTTTGCTAACATGGAAGGCCTTATGATCTTGCCTTACTTAAACCTCCTGTTATCTTGCTAATTTCTCTGTTGTTTTTTTTTTTTTTTTCACTCAAAGTTGTTTGCCTGTGGTCTTAATTCAGGTCCCTTTATATGACTCAGCTTTTAGCTGAGTTAAGAGGTGGGAATAAAATATTATTATTATATTCAACATGTATTTTTATAAATGGTATGACAAATACATTTATTCATTAGCAAACATTTATTTTGCCAAATACTGGTCCATAAAATTGGGTAAGTCTATAATTTTTTATCTTCAAAGACATCAGAGGTGAAAGAGCAAGACAGATAAATAGGTTTCTAGCATTTTCAGAAAAAATGTAGAAGGTAATTAGTGGTTGCAAGTGATAAAGCTTCTAGGATGAAGCATCTTATAATTTGTTGACATGAGTTCAATATATATATCTATTCATCATATGAATAGATATATTCAATACATATATCTATTAATAATGGATATGTATAAATATATATTTTTAAGAGATTCAGTACATTTATTTTAACATACTTATTGATGATTACAAATCAAGCTTATGCTTTTCTTGTAGTAATATAGCAAACCAACATTCAAGACAAATCACCTTAGAGTTCTGATGAAATGTAATTGACATTAGATAAATTGCATAGATGGATATAAAGTCTGTGAACTTTCCTCAATTATTTCTAGCTTTTTACAAAAGATAACTACTACCATTATAAAAATATATAGTTTTTAATTCAGCTATAATTGAATAAAACTTTATTGTCTTCACCTACGATATTGCATTATGTTGTAACCAAAACATTCCAAAGCGGTCATGCTGTGCAATTAATATTAAACTGTGTCTTATACTTATGCCAAGAAGAATTTTCAAAGTCTTCAAAACTAAAATTAATACTTTGTGCTCAGAGTGGCTTTTTCTAGGAGCTTAGAATATCTTATGCATTTTGTGTCATTAATTCTCTCAAACTTCATGGAAGCTGGAAGACAATCATCACTGTATACTACACTGTATCATCACTGTATACTACAATAATTAGCTCAAAGAAGAGCTGTGAGTAATATGGAGTATAAGTTATATAATCAAAATGAAATATTCGCTACCGTTGTCAGAATTTAGGGGCCTTAGTTAGTACCTGAAACAGATGAAACTAATAGAAGTGAAAGCAAAGTAAGTGTATGTCCTCCTCTAAAGGAGATTATTGCACTAATCTGCCATAGCAGTGGGGAGTGAGTATTCATTGTTATAGGATGGAATAATAGGTAGCTTTTTTGAATTCATTGATGATCTGTTCATTGAAAGCTAGAAATAATCACATAAATTTAAAAATTCAATGTATATTTTGATTTTAGAATTTTAAAATATTTATTGTAAAAAAATACATTATCTTCTTTCATATTCACTTTATAGTTAAAATTAGATTTATCTGACTGTAGAAAGAAGCAAGCAAGGATCTAAAAATAAACATTAAACTAGTTAACTTTCTCTCTGTATGTATACACACAAAAAATATATATACACATAGAGATTTATATATATATATATATATATATATATATATATATTTATATTTATCTATCAATCTATCATCCATATTCAATTAAAACAACCCTGGAATAACTTTTTCCTTAATTATCCTGAATAGACAGAAAAAAAAAAAGACAAGCAAGTAAACAAATAAACACTATCTTGGCACCTTTTACAATATATGAATTACTCAATATACCCTTTCCTAATCATTTACCATTTCTCTTAACTGGTAGGCAGAAACATTTCTGTGGCAAAAAAAAAAAAAGAGAAGAAAAGAAGTGTCTGCTCAACAGCATTCTGACTCTAAAATTGTGCAATGTGTATGACTGATATTCATTTTCATTATGTATTTTAAAATTACTTCACTAAGCGCTGCGTCATAATTTATTAGGTGAATATTCTGCTTTTGATGCCTCTCTAAATATATATTTCCAAAAAATATTGCAATGACTATAAAGAGAAAATTATATCAAATAAGTTAACTATATATTTTAAAAAGTCTTCATCTGATAATATGCATTGTATCAGTTTTAAAGAATGTCTTTCAAGGTTGCTTTCCAATAGAAATTTTCTTAAATTTAAAGAGTGAACTGAAGAGTCTATTAATTGTTTAGTGACATCAGATAATGGCAATATCCATTATCTTGGAAAAAATATTTATTGTTTTATTTAATCTCTATTTAGTTTAGATTAGTACGCTAGTTATTGCCTTTTCATGTATAATTTGTTATATTGATTGTAACTAATAATATAAAAGAATAAATGTAAGCATGTTAACAACTCACAATTTAATAACCACAGAAAGAGCTCCAGAATTAACATATCAATAACATGGATAAACGATGCGTACATTTATAGACCTAT